TTTTCATGCTTAAGTTTTTTTTGATGCTTATTTTAGGTTTTTTTTGATTCTCCGGTCTAGTTTTTGTTTGATGTCTATTTAGTTTTTTTTGATGCCTCACCCCGTCACAGCCCTCCTCCAAGTGTGTGTCTTTGCCTGCTGGGGCTAAGGCTCATCCGAACCCGGGAGGGGGTGACTGTCTTTTCTATTGCCTCGCTGATGTGCTGTCCGGGGTGCAGAACAAGACTCGTGGCCACCGTCAGGTGAGGGCTGGAGTTGTGGCATGGATTCGATGGAGAAGCACACCGAGCTTCTTGAGCAGCATTGGGACCACCTTGGGCCCGATGGCGAGTACATGGAAGGCTCATTCCGGGATTACCTCAAGGCTGTGCGACGGTCTGGAGCTTGGGCTGGGTGGCTGGAGCTGTATGCTGCAGGTGTCGCGGAGGATCTCAACATCTTGATCCTTTCGCCCGATGGTGTGGTCCGCTTCGCTGCCCGAAATGAGGTTGGCCACTTTGCCGTGCTGAAGTATGAATGTGGACACTATGAGGTGTTGACCATGGACCAGAAGCAGATTGCAAAGCTGTGGTTGGCAGCCTCTGACGCCAAGCCTTCTGGGGGGCGAGGTGGAGGCCGTTCCAAGGCCTCAAGTTTGCACTTGTCACAGTTCGATGCTGCATCAGGGGGACCTCGCGGGCTCATTCAAAGAGGGCCTCTGGCATGGGTAGCCGGGGCCTTGCGCTCTCCGATTTTGCCTCGTCTACGGGGCGGTGCTCTACTCCTGGGGCTGCCTCTTTTGGCGCGGCTGTGGAAGGAGGACGGTCTCCGTCCGCGCTCGGTGGCTACGAGGCGCCTCCTGCTGTGACTGCGCCACCGCCGCATTTCTCGAGATACCGCAAAGAGGGAGGCTTTCGCTGGCCTTGCCAGCTTTGCCCGTTCGTCGTCGTGAAGGACACCTGTGCTGCTATGTGCAAAGCTCGCTACCTGCACTGCACCAACTACCACGCAGGCGAGGGCCTGCCGGGCGCGCGCACCATGTGCTTTGACGTGTTCCAGTTCTTGGCCGAGGGGGCGGAGTACGACTGGAAGTGTCCGCTTTGCAGTTGGGGGATCCCCCGTGGCCAGCGCGGTCGAGTGTCGGCGGCGGCCTTCGGGATTGGCCGTGAAAAGCACCGTGCCAAGCACCATCGGCACCTGGATCGCAAGGCATACATGCGTCGATGCAAGGCCCACGGGTTGCGCCGACCTGAGTTCCTCATGCGGGCAAGGGTTCGAATGCTCAATGCGGGCATGGCCAAGAGGGCGCGCGACATGGGGAGCGAGCTGGAGCAGAACTGGCAGGCCTTCCAGTGGCCCTACGTCCTGTTCCAGAAATTAAGCTTTGTGTCAAGACCGCTTGGAGGTGCAAGGCCTGTGGATTGTGCACCAGAGTGAAGAGAGATCGAGCTCAGCATGGCGGGCGATGTGGGATGGGATGCGGGAACCTTGTGCACCACCGTGCAAAGCTCGAGGAGGACAAGGCCAAGGCCAAGACTTTCCACCACGGCATGGATGCAACCCTCCTGGCCTATAGTAGGTCTTTGACAGTGCGCTTTTGGCGCTAGGCGGCGTCGCGTCGCCATGAAGGTGCATGGTGGGAAATCGGCTGGGTTCGTCACGATGAACGTGGACAAGAACGCTTGTGTGAAGCTCGCGAGCATCAGCGATTTCTTCAAGAATTCGGATTGCCAGATAATGTGCCTACAAGAGGTCGACATCAATGTGGCGAGCGGGTCCTCTTGGATTGCGGCTTGGCGGTCTAAGGGGCTCCATGCATTTTTGGGTACAGTTGGGGACCAGGCAATGTACAGGACGTCGCTTGTGTCTTCTTTTCCGGGTCGCCTCGTCCAACTTGACGTGACCGACCCCAGCAGGGTGACGGCGGTTGTCTTTGAGTTCGTCTCCGGTGGAGGGTACGAAAAGGTGATCGTCGTGAGTTTGTACAACTACTTTTCGGATAAGGAGGCGGCTGCTGTTTTCTTGGAGGAGACGGTGGCTGCCCTGGAGGCCATCGGCATGAAATGGATCATCCTCGGCGACTTCAACCTCACGGCTGATGATCCGCCCCTGGCTCGGAGGCTAGCGGCCGGGCTTTGCAGGCTCCTGGACGAGCCGTTCTTGGCGCAGGGCCCTCTCCCTGGGACGGCCGGCGGTGTTCGTCGAATTGACTTTGGCGTCAGTTCTCGTGGGGTGCTGGCGGAGAGCGTGTGGCATGAGCAGGGCATCGCCAACCACACGGCGGTGGCCTACTCCTTCGGCTTTGTGACCCCTGGCAGCTTCTCCTCACCGATGCGGGCACCTTTGTCGATGGGTGACTACTGCCACATGGATGGGTGCCTGGGGCGCGGAGGCCTTTCAGGGTCTTCTCTTGGGCAACGACCTGGACGGTGCGTGGAGGCTCCTTTCGGACACTGCCGAGCGGGTCTTGAGTCCTGGGAATGGTCGTGGCCGTGGTCTGCGGCGCTCGGCTCCTTGGAGCTCTTCGAAGCAAGGCGGCCTCGGCCTTTGAGCCTCTCCCTTTGGTTCGGCTCCGGCGCTTTGGTCGTCGTTTGGGGCAGCTGGCTCGACACCCTGGCGACCGGCAGCTCCGTGACATCGTTGATCGTGACCTCGAGTTCCTCGATGGACACTACGGATGGCTCGCCGAGCTTCCCCTTCTCGGCATTGAGCGTCATGTGCAGTGGGTGGGCGACCAGATCGAGGTGGAGGCTAAGGCTGTTCGTGAAGCTGGGTTTCTCGGCGTGGATTAAGCGCCGCGCTGCTATGAGGACGGGGCCTGTGTGCCCTCCTGTGGTCTCTGGCTCTATCGCTCGCACTGCGATCCATCCGAGGTCCGTCATCGAGGCGGCTGAGCAGGAGTGGGTGGCACGATGGACTATGGGCCGTGTGGATGACGTCTCGGTGGCCAACCTTCTCCAGCGGCTACCCCCGGTGCCGGCGGTCACTACGGTCGTGCAGTTTACCGCGGATAAGCTTCGCAGGGTATGTGCTCGCATGCGGCACAAATCCCCTGGACCGGACGACTGGACGGCCAGTCACTTCTTGGCTCTCCCCGACCCGTTTTGGGAGGCGTTGGCTCAGCTTTGGCAATGCTGCTACCAGTGTGCCGTCGTTCCCCAACGATGGCGTGAGGCCAAGGTCAGCTTGGTCCCGAAGGCGAGCGGGGGGCACCGACCCATTGCGGTGCTGGCACTGGCTTACCGCATCGGCGCATCCGTTCTCGCTCGCGAGCTCCGGCCGTGGACTGAGCAGTGGACTGGGCTTAGAATCATGGGCGGCTTTCACCAGAGCTCGTGCCGAGACGTTTTCCTCCGGGTCATCCACGCCAGTGAAGACCCTCGGGTGGCTTTCATCGGCGAGGACATCAGCAAGTACTTCGACTCGCTGCTGGCCCCGCACGTGCGATTGGTGTTGCAACATCTGCAGGCTCCACCTCCCTTCGTGGATTTCGTGTGCAGCGTCATGGCAGAGCAGTGGCGAGTCTTCACTTCTGGTGGACTTTTTGGCGAGGCCTGGCACACCAAGGGCGCTGCTCAGGGAGATCCGCTCTCCCCTTTAGTCGCCGGGGCGGTCATGTACGTGTGGACGACCTGGGTCGCGCGTGACAACACCGAAGCCGTGTCCTTTGTGGACGACCGCAGCTTCTGGAGCCCGAGCTCGGCGGCGCTTCGCGCGGCCAAGCAGCGCAGTGCGGAGGTGGATGAGGCCTTTGGTTTCAGCTGTGACGCGCGCAAGTGCCAGCTTGCTGCCGGGCCTTCTGGTGATGGGGCCGCCTTGGCCGCTTCCTTTGGCTACGTCCTCAAGGACCACTTCGAGTTGCTTGGTGTCCGCGTCCCGGTTCCACGTGGTGCTCCTCCCTCTTTGGCTCGTTTCGTCTTCGACGTGGCGCAGGCTAGAGTGGTTTGCTCGAACGCTGTTGCGCAGGGCATGTGGCAGAGAGGGTTCCACTACCGCGCCCTCGTGATGCCGATGATGTGCTGGGCTGGAGCCATCGCCTCGATCCCCAGCGACGAGGTGATGCGGCTTTGTAACTCCATTCTCTCGGTCACCAATTACCGCCATGCTTGTGACACGCCAGCAGTTGCTGTTTGGGAGGTCTTGGGCTGGGAGTGCAATCCCAGCTTCGCGAGAAAGTGGGCAGCCCTGAGAGACGCTGTAGGGTTTGTCTGCAAGCCGCCTTGCTGGCTGGATGCGGCCCCGCTTCCGCTGCTTTCGCGCCGTTGGCCCACCTTATACTTCCCTTGGCTGCTCAGGTGCTCGAAGAGCTGGGCTGGTGGACCTTCGACCATGGCGCTCGCATTTGCAGGCGCGATGGTCTCGGCAACTTGAGGTCTTTCGTGGTCGGCGTCGATAGCCTCTCCATCCTCGGCGACTGGCTCCGTGACTGGCACAGGATGGCTGCTCTGGAGTCTACTACCAGGGTGGCCTCGGCTTTGCACCGTGGCGAGGACGAGCTGGCGCGTGGTGCGCTTCTACCCGGCGTCCCTCACCGGTCCTTGGTTCTTCTGCAGGGCCACAAGACTAAGAAGGTTTACCACAGCACTGAGGAGCGCAACCTGCGGAACTCCGCTCTGGCTACTGGCTGCTCGGTTTGGGCTAAGGCAGCTCGCAGTGGGGTGCCGGCGCGGGACATGCCTGCATGCGTGTGCTTGCGGCTTGCATCTTCCCAGTCGCCCTCACTTGGCATGGCAATGTGAAGGTACGCGTCACCTCCGTTCCCCTGGGGCGGCTCCGGTGAACCGTGCGGAGGAAAGACTCTTTGCCAGGGTCGTGCCTGAAATGCCCCCGGCGCCTAGTGTGGTTGGGGCCGACGAGCTCACCGACGACCTCTCCGCGGCACTCGACTGCGCCCTGGCTACTGGTCTTGTCGTGGTGGGCACGGACGGCAGCGTGGTCTCCGAGGTCGCGGCGTGGGCCATCGCCATCCACGACGCTGGTGGCGCTGCGCGTGCTGCTGGGTGCCCTACGTCAGTGCAGGCGCCGTGGCAGGGTCGTCATCGTGTGCGACTGTCAGTCTGCGATGCTGGCTTTGGAGGGCCGGGGCCAAACGGCCGTGCTTGTTGCTGAGCTTCTCAATGCGAGTGCTGCGTGCCGCTCGTTGGGCTTTGTCGTCGAGTGCTACTGGGTTCCCTGTCATGGGAAGCCGGCTCCTGCCCGTTGGCGGGTCCCTCCTGGTGGTGAGGTCGTGACCAGGTCCGTCAACGACAGGGCGGATGTGGAGGCTAGACGCTGTGCTGCTGCACGCTGCCGTGGTTCTGCTCGTGAAAGGTGTGGCCAAGCGCGCGCTGATGCCGCGCAGTGGGAAGAGGCGGCGATCCGGGCTTTGGTTCGCATCGCTGAGCACTACTATGCTCAGTAGTGCGCTGGCTCCGTGGCTTCTAGGGCTTCGGCACCCTGCTGTCACACTTTGAAAACTTTGAAAACTTTGAGGAAGGACATCAGGGCCCACCTCGCGGACAAGCACCTTCGACCTGGAGGGCTTCTACGTAACCGTACGTCTGGGAGAAACCTCACTGTGCAGGCGAGGGCTCATTTGCCGAATGGTTGGATTGGTCTTAAACCAGAAAGTCTGGTTCTGCCTGGGTGATCACAACGGAGTGGGAGGCCTTAAACCGGGGGCTTCAAGATGCTTTTGAGCATGCTTTGTCTACCTTGGGAGTCGAGCTGCCGAAGCACCAGCGTTGTCGGGACAAGGGCTCGCAAATCAGTTGGTTTGCGGCGGGCCAATTGGCCCAGGTCGCCGTCCAGCTTTTGGTGCGTGCTGCTAAGGCCACTTGGACTCACGACCTCGAAGTCCACTCGACGGTGCCTTCGGCTTGGCCAGGAAGGCAGCAGGTTCTGGAGCAGGGCACTCGTAAAGGCATTGCTCGCACCGGCAGGCGTTGCGTTTGCACTGCTTGTGGGAGCATCAACATGCCGTCCTTGCTTTTGCGATCGATCTGTCCTCAATCTCAGGCGGGAAAAGGTCTTGTTGCTGCTCCTAAGGAAGCTGAGAGGATCGCCGTTGTTTCAGGCTGGCATAAGGCTGCTTGCAGGGAGCAGTGCCAGCTGTCCGGCTCTATAAGAGCAGTTTGAGGAAGCTCAAGCGGAAGGACGCTGCTCGAGGCAGGCCGCATCGTAAGGGTGTCCTTCGTCGGCCCGCTGCCAGAAAGAAGATCTCCGGGACCTGACGGTCCTGGGTCTGCGCTGTCCCTTGGTGGAAGGCGTGGACCCAGCTGTGTCGGATGGGGGAAGCTGCTAATCCGGGGCCACCAGGGGTCAAGATTCTGTCTTGGAACTTGGGTAGTCTCCACACGCAAGGTGATGGTCTCGTTGACCTTCTGCTTCGTCATAGCGTAGACGTGGCATTGATTCAGGAGCACCACATCCCCGAGAACGGCAAGCATCGCATGACACGTGTTTTTCGTCAAGCAGGATGGCACATTTTCTGGGGACCTCAACGGTCTTGCGGCTACGGCGAGGCCGTCCTTGTACATCGCAGATTTTCCGCTGCCTTGCTCCAGGGCGATTCGCGTGAGATCTGTACTGTTGCCTTGCGCATGGCGGGGGGTCGCATGATGCGGGTCGCTTCCATCTACGCTCCGGTCCACTCCCGCGGCACTCAGGAGGCTTTCTTTGCGGAGTTGGCCTCGTGGCAGGGAAGACCTGGCCTCTGGGTCGCTGGTGGCGATTTCAACTCCGACCTTCGCTCGAGTTCCTTGCAGTGGTCATGCGGCTGTGCCTTGCAAGAACACGTGGAGGCGATCTGTTCAACATGAGTGGTGTTCGTCTCTCGACGGGTTTGTCACTTGTGGGGCCTTAAGGCCTGTCGGCGCGGTGACTGCACTCCAACACGAAGTTGTCACGCAGCATGCTCCGGTGATCTGTACTGTGCCGGGTGAGGTTCATGAGGAGTTTTTGCTGGCCTGGGCGCTTCCCAAGACGCGCCTAAAACCGTGGACGCTGGACGCCAACGAGGCCTTTTTTGCTGCCCTTCGACGAAAGGATGCTGATTTGGCTTGGTCCATTTGGCTGGATTGCGCTTTTGGTCTTCGAGGCGATGAGAGTCCGTACGTCAAGGCTCCCTGCTCGGTTGTTCCTGGTCTCGGTCGTGACCGCGGCCAAGTCCTCGCCGCCATGGGTGTGCTTCGGCGCATGTGTGCTTGGGGCAGTGAATGGGGCTGGAAAACCGAGCTGCACGAGAAGTACGAGGCTGGCCAGGCGGCTCTTCAAACTCTCCTGGCTCAGCGCCGTCGCGATGGCATCAACGACTGGAAGGCTCGTGTTCGTGACCTTAGCTTGGCTTCTAAATGGGTGAAGTCTGGTCCTGCGAGGCCGTTTAGGCTTCTCAACCAGGATGGATCAGTGGCCATCACTCCTTCTGAGCAAGGGCGCGCGATTAGGGCAGAGTGGCTGCCCCGGTGGACTGAGAGGAGCCCGGCTGCAGTTGCGGCTGGCGTCTCGGCTGCTGGCGCCTTTGCAGAGGCCCTGGCAGCGCGAACCTGCGAGTTTCCCAGGCCGCAGCCCTGGACTGCAGGCGACATCCGCGCTCAGATTCGCTCGAGTGCTGCAGGATTGGACGGCCTTACCTTTCAGCACTACAGTGATTTGACCGATGTTCATTTGGAGAGGCTCGCAGCTTTGTATTCGGAGCTGGATGCTGGGATGCAGTTTCCTAGAGCCTGGCACGCTGCGCGCCTTGTCTGCATTCCGAAGGAGTCCGGGGACGCTCGGCCTTTGACTGTCATGCAAGTGGCGTACCGCATCTGGGCGGCCAGATCTGCGGCCTTGTTAGGCCAATGGGCATCTGCCTGGCTGCCGCCTGAGCTGATTGCGGCCGAGGAGGTGCGCCACCAGCCGTGCATTCTGGGAACGAAGTGTCGTCCTTGTTGGCGGTGGCCTACCATGAACAAAGCCAATTGACGGGAACATCTCTCGATACCGAGAAATGTTTTGATTCGGTCAGTCTTCACAGCGTCCGATGCCTTCTCCATGGCGCTCACGCTCCTCAGTTCATGTTTCGAGTCGTGGATTTGTGGGAGCAGCTGGAGCGGCATGTCTGGCTGCTGGATGGTCCGACAGGCATTACGGTTCGAGCCTCCCGCCAGCGTGGTTTGCCCCAGGGGGATCCGCTGGCCCCTTGGGCCTTGAACTTAGTAATGGCGACATGGATATGGGCATTGCCGACACTGGACCTTGTTCGAGTCTTCCTCGATGACCGGTGCTTGCTTCATCGAAGGGTTGAGGATCTGGCCGAGGGCTTGCGCATCACGAGAGATTTTGACGAGGCATTCGGTTTGACTGTTCACCCTAAGAAGTCATGTCGTTTTTATGTAGACGGTCCCCAAGATGATCCGTCGCACTACTGGTCGTGCTTGCCTTTGAAAGTCTCTGTGAAGTATTTGGGAGTGCAGCTGGAGACTGACCCGGGAGGGTCCTTGTCCAATGGCGATGCTCGTGCTGAAGCTGTTAGGGCTAAGGTCGTTCGTGCTCGATTGCTTCCTCAGACTGAGGTGCCCAGGACACTTGTCGCCTGTTACCTGCAGGGGCTTTACTCCGAGGGAGTCATGATGACGCAGCTGGCCTGTGCCCGCCTTACCACGTCGGTAGTGCAGGCCTTTTGGGGGCCTACACTTAACAGTCGCAACTTCATGCGTAGTGAGGCCTATACTCTAGGTTTACTTGCTCCTCTTCATCGCATGGCGCCTGTTATAGTGCAGTGCTGGTCCACGTTTGTTGCTTTGGCTAGGCTCCTTGTTCGGAACACGTCGCTGGGTCAGGGTCTTTGGCAGGCTTGCTTTCAGGGACGTCGCTGTATAGGTTTTGCCAGGCAGGTGAGGCAGAGTCTTCAGTTCCTGAATTGGCAGTGGACTTCAAGGGACTCGCTCACGGATTCCTTCGGCCATCGTCTTCGTCTACCAGATCTGGCGCTGAGCAACGCTAGAGGCGACAAGGCGAAGCATGACTTCCGGGAGCGTTTACGGGCCTTCTGGTGGCAGTACTGGGACTCGTCTCGCGTTGCTCATGGCGGCATTTTGTCAGGTGTTGATCGAGAGCGGTCCTTGCGTCCTCTACAAGCTCTTCGTCTTCGCAAAGGCACTTTCGGCTGGGACGGCACCGAAGCTGGAGCTCGCTATGCGCGATTTCTGGCGGATGCTCTTTGGTCGCGAAATCGCCGGAGACATGCGGGCAAAGTCGAGTCTGGCCTGTGCTGTCGCTGTGGGGTGGAAGATGAGCGCACTGACCACTTCCTCTGGGGCTGTGTGGCGAACCGCGAGCTGCAGATCGTGCTTCGGAGAGACTGGGATGAGGCCGCTGGTCCCAACAGCTGGCCGTCTGCACGGCTTCCGGATGCTCTGACGCGGTGTCTTCGGCAGTGTGGCGTGGTCCCGCAGGTGTCTGCACAGGAGGCTCCTTGGATCGGCAGCTAGCGGCTCGGCAGCGGTACTTCGTCGCTGTGCTGCGTGGTTGGGCGGCGGAGAGGGATCAGGATGCTGAGTGCATTCCGGTCCATTTTGCAGGCATCGTGGTGTGAGGAGTTCTTCTTCGTCCTGGTGGTCGGCGATCATGAGAGGGTGGCCCCCTCTTTCTTCTATCTTTTGGCCAAGTCGTGGAGCAAACGAGGCAGTTTCCAGCAGAGGCGACTCACTAAACGGCTGGGTCGGCCTCACGAAGCGCAACGGCAACGAGCCGAGGGGAGAATCAACGAGTTTGTGGAGAATACCATTCCCCAAACCTGGCCCGACGGGGTCCCGCAGCACTACGATGGCATGTGCCTTTCCTTGGACAAAGCCATCTGTGACGGTCACCTCGCGCTCGAGGAGGAGCGCAACCGCTAGCGGGCCTCCGCGATCACCAGCTGGAGGCTCGAGGGGCCGCGGCTACCAAGTGGTTCCAGAACCGCCCACACCTTTCTTTTCTGCCAAGGGGTCGTGAATACTGCTTCCGATGGCACTATCCACCGGACCTTCGACGTCAACGAGGCCTTCGAGTGCATCCTGGAAAAGTGGAGTGGCGTAAAATCTGGCAGCGCCCCGAGCCGGTGCCGGAGATGATGGCTGCCAATGGTGGGGAGCTTCCTCGACCCGGGCGATCGCCGGCCCAGTGCTGGCAGTTGCGGCCCACGGACTTGCACCATTCTGCTTTAAAACGCAAGGGCGGAAGTGCTGGAATCGATGGCCGGCAAAAAGACGAGCTGGCTGCTCTCCCCTTGAGCTTTTGAGAAACCTTCAACAACATTCTGCATCGTTGGCTTCACAGGGGCCAGCTCCCGAAGGCCATGAAGCAGTACAGACAGGTCTTCCTGCCCAACTCCCTGGTAGGTAGGTCGGTGGGCAGGGAGGTGGGTAGGTGGGTGGGTAGGTAGGTAGGCAGGCAGTTGGTAGTTGGTAGCTGGTAGCTGGTAGCTGGTAGTTAGTAGTTCGTAGTTCGTAGTTAGTAGTTGGTAGTTGGTAGTTAGTAATTAGTAATTAGTAGCTAGTAGTTAGTGCTGGTGGTGGTGGTGGTGGTGGTGGTATTGGTGGTGGTGGT